AAATCAACATCAGGTCCCCATGAAGGTGAAGCAAAGCAGAGCTGTGAAATATTCATGGCACACAGAGACCAGCTGCGGTAGCCATCTGGCAACTCAGGCAACCCCTCAATCCTAAGAGCTCTATGGATCGCCACCTTCCAGGTTCCCTCCAACCCAGAGTAATCCTCCCCATGACCTGACCCTAACTTGTGCTCTCCCTCCAGGTGGTCTGGCTGCTGTTATCTACACAGATGCTCTGCAGACTGCGATCATGCTCTTAGGGGCATTCATCCTGATGGGCTACAGTAAGTGGGGACCTCAGCTTTCATCACTGTGATACGAAAACCCAGGGATCAGGAATCACGCTCAATTACTACCTGGTCCCTCCTATTCCTGTGTGTGTGTGTGTGTGTGTGTGTGTGTGTGTGTGTGTGTGTGTGTGTGTGTAGTGAAAAGGAGGGAGGGGGAGAGAGAGAGAGAGACAGACAGACAGACAGAGAGACAGAGACAGACAGAGACAGAGACACAGAGAGATCATCTGCATGTGCAACATCAGATTTCTTTTGTTGCTCTCCACCTTAATGTTTTGAGGCAAAGTCTGTCACTGAGCCTAGAGCCCACTGATTGGCCTACACTGGCTAGTGTGCTCTGGAGTCGCTTAACTCTGCCTCCTCCAAGCTCTGGGGTTATAGTTATACCCACAGCTCTGGAATTTACTAATTTTCTTTTTTATTTAGATTAAAATATAATTACATCACCTCCTCCCTCCCTTTCCTCCCTCCAAACCCTCCTAATATGCGCCCCCACCCCTTTTAAATTTATGGTTCCTTTTTCTCTGAGTTTTATTGTTACAAATATATAAATATATAAACACAACCTGCTAAGTATGTTTTTGTTGCTTGTGTGTATATGATTTCAGGGATGACCAGTTTGTATTGGGTAATCAGCGAATTTACTAATTTTCAAAGTGAAATTGATATTTTTTCTGACACTGGTATGGATAAATGATGTTTGAAAGGGAGGGTAATTTTAACAGTCAATGATTTTGACCTTTTGAGATTACTTAGACACAGAAGACTGTAACAGCAGAAGAGTGCTTTCATATACTCTATACCCAGTGTCACTACAGTCTAACATGACATGTTAAAGCATATGACATTTAGATGCAGATCCTGTAAAGCTCGGGGACAGTGGCATCAGGGATCTTTGCTACTCTCTCTCTCTCTCTCTCTCTCTCTCTCTCTCTCTCTCTCTCTCTCTCTCTCTCTCTCTCTCTCTCTGTGTGTGTGTGTGTATGTGGCATGCACATATATATGCATATTTGCTTGTGTGTGGGCACACATGTGGGGGTGTTTGTGCTTGCATGTGGAGATCCAAAGTTGACATTGGGTATCTTGTGTTTTCATCTCTCCACATGAACTCATCCATTCTAATATGGCTAGTCAACTTGCTATGGAGACTCAGTCTCCGCCTATTACATGCTGACATTACAGGTGTGTTGTCCCATCAACTAGTTCATCCATGGGTTCTAGGCATCCAAGCTCTGGCCCTCATACTTGCATGACAAGTGCCTTAGCTACTGAGCCTTCTCCCGAACCTGCTACTTTTTTAGATTGTAAAACTCAAGGCAGTAACTGCTAGACTACATGCCTGGTAAAGTAAGACAGCAGCCAGCTGTGGCAATGCACACATGCAGCCAGGTACGTGAGAAACTGAAGATGGCTTGCACCAGACATTCAGGTCAGCTCGGGCAACACACAGACATAATATTTTAAAATAAACAATAAGCTAGGACTCAGATCGAGGTAAGTGGTTTCATGCTTCAAACCTCAACCATCTTGCCGCTGGTAGTGGGACTTGTAACACCTGTAGAGGTGCCTGGGCGTGGGTGCCAAAGGCATAGGAAGCATTTTGCTTTTAATATTGCACAGGGGACACATCTGTGTTTTGGATATATGTCACTCTTGACTTCCAAATGAGATTTCAAAGGAATAGCCATGGAGTAATACATTTGTTTCATGATTCTAACAACAGAATCTTTTAGCCAGCCTGTTTTGCACTCTTGTGAAGAAGGAAAAGAAAATTTTTTGTTTCTGTTTTCTCTCTCTCTTGTAAATTTTTGTCTGTCTAAAAATGCCCGTTTATCAGTTACTTTTGAAAAATGTCTTTACTATGTATAATAACGTTGGCTGTGATTTGATTTCCCACTATGTTAGGAACCTCTAGTGCCTTCTGTACCACAGTGGGGAGGTCTGCGATCCCACTTTCACTGCTTTGTACTGTGAATCCTGCCCCCTACTCTGGTTGTCTTTAAGGGAACATTTCTCCTTTGCCTTTTAAACTTTTAACCCCTTTTGCCTTTTTTCCTCACAGTGTAGCTGAGGCTGTCCTTGAACTTCTGACCCTCCTCCTTTTACCCCCCACCCCCCGCCCATTGCCAGTACAGGGACTATAGGTGTGAGCCACTGTTCCTTGTTCCTTTACCTTTCATTTCCAGCATTTCTAATATGATAGATGTAAATGGGGGCTGTGTTTATCCTGAGTGACACTCCTGAGATTAGGGAATTGTGATTTAATGGCCATTTTGAGAATAATAATTTCTCACATCTCCTCTTGCTTCCCTACCTCTCTTCTTCATCTCTACCTCTCATCAGTGTCTTTTACTCTTGTGTTTTGTTTTGTTGGTTTTTTTGTTGTGTTTTTGAGACAAGGTCTCTCTATATAGTCCTGGCTGCCCTGGGTTTGCTATGTAGACCATGCTGGCTTCCATCTCACAGAGATCCTCCTGCCTCTGTCCCTCAAGTGCTAGGATTAGAGGCATACATCACTACATCTGGCTAGTGTTTTTTATTCTTGGAACTCCAGTGTCACCAAATCCCGTATATCATGCCATCTCTTGGCCTCTTTTCTTTTGTGTTTCAATATGAGTTATTTCTAGTCACCCATTTTCCAGCTTGTTCATGGCTTCTTTTGCTGTGTTGTCTGTTGATGGGTTGACTGAGGAGAGATTTGCCATCTCTGTTACCATCTCCATCACATCCTTTTACCTTCTCCTTCCTCCTCCCCTCCCTCTTCTTCCTCCTCTCTCATTTTCCAGTTACCAGGGAGCAAACCCACTTCCTTATGCTTGCTAAGCACACTCTCTGCCACTGCACTCTACCCCAGTCCCGTTCAGCCCTTCCTCGAGTATCTCTCTCGAGGTTGGCCATCTCGTCATGAATACTGCCACCTTCCCACTACAGCCTGTAGCTTATTAATGGGTTATTTCCATGTCCTGTCTGACAGCTGCGACATCTGGGCCACCCATCAGTTTGCCTTTCTCACTTCCTTTCATAGCGGTAGGTCGTTTTTCTTTCTTTCTTGGGTACCTCGCAATTTTCTTCAATGTTGGCATAATGTAGAAGATAGTAGAAATTGGGGTAAATTGAATTTGTTTGGATACGAGCATGGCTCTTTGGCCAAGTTGCTGATGGAGGGTCTGGTTAGGGGCCAAGCTGGAGTTTAGATTTTTCAGTGATTTCTCTGGTTGCCTTTTGTGCACCTTCAGCTTCTAATGCCTTGGGCATTACCTGTGCTGTGATGGGGTCTGCTTTTCCAAAAGTTTTTTTTTTAATGTCTGTATTAGCTTTCCTGTGGCTGTAATAGAATACCTGACACGAACAACTTAGAAAAAGGAAAGATTTGTCTCATGAATCTGGCTTACAGTTTCAGAGTTGTCAGCCTGTTATTGTGGGAAGGGCCTTGTGGAACACAAGTTCACATCATTACAGCCAGGAAGCAGGCAGATGACAGGAAACAGCCAGGGTGAGAACCAGCCACCACACCTTGCTCATATGCAGTGCGTGACATTCGATTTGATTCAAGAGAAAGTAGGAAACATTAATAGTCAAATTACTAAAGGAGAAGCCAGAGCACTTGACACTAGAAGCTGTCCTAGGAAAAGGAATGCTTCATTACTTCATGACATATGAAATATAAGATATGTCTACTGAAATCAAAGAGATAAAGTTATTATTTACAGATACTGATATGGTTGGCTGTTTAAAGACCTGGAAAAAAGTTGAGTGATTAAGACTAAAATTCAAAATCAATGTCCCTTATCAAAGTGGAATTTCTTTTGGTACCCTGATAGTGCCTCCATTGTTGCTACTCAGAGTGTGGTCCATGGCCTGTAACCTTAGTGTCACCCTGGAGATCATAAAAGGAACCCCAGCCTCCAGCCAGATCTGCTGAATCAGGGTCCTCACTTCAACAATCAGACAGAATCCCAGGGCCCGGCCTTTTGTCTGGTCCATGATCTGTACTTCGATAATCACCAAGTGACTCATGTTAGTTTTAGGAAGCTTGATCTGACTCCTGTTCCATTCTAGACCCAACTGTTCTATCTGCTGTGACATATCTGTTCAAGTTCACTTTCTTCTCAAAAAATTTTAATTTCTTCTAAGTGTTTTGCCTGTATGTAATGTATGCCTGCATGTAATGTATGCCTGCTCGCAGCGCGCGTGCATGCATGTGCTGCATGCAGCGTGTGTGTATGTGTGTGTAGTACCTGCTGAGGCCAGAAGAGGGCATTGGATCCCCTGGGACTGGAGTTACAGATGATTGTGAGCCTCTACATGAGTGCTGGGTATGGAACCCTGGACCTCTTAAAGACCAGCACATGCTCTTAACTGCTGAGCCATCTCTCCAGTCCTTACTTGCCTTATATATGGCTGTCTCAAGTTACAAACAAAATATACAGCCCCAACTACTACCATAAAATAGCTTTTCGAGCTGATAATGGTTAGCAGTAATTTCTTACGTATTTCAAAATAACCAAGAGAAAGGCTATTGAATAATCTTCAGTACAAAGAGATGTCAAATGTTTGGCATGATAGACATGTTTAATTACCTTGACTTGATCATTATATACTGTGCACATATGTATCAAAATATCATATTATTCCCATTAATATGTATAATTATGTGCCACTCAGAAATAAAAATAACTTTTCTTCAGGGCAGTGAAGATGGACAGAAAATTAACATCCAATAGCTAGGTTTTATTTTTCTCAGTATTCTTTGTGCACCTGTCTTCAGAAATCTTGAGTGCTTACATTAATGCCTTTTCTCCTATAAAAACACAAAATGAAAACAAGCCCCTCTCCAAATTCCACCTTCCAGAACCAACAGTATTGACTCTTTCCAACAACTGAAGAAGAACAAATGACCTGTAGCTATTAATAGTTTATTTTTTGGAACAGCTCACCATTGTGGCAGATTCAGTGCTAAACACTTTGTGAACATTATGTCTCTCTTCCTTGGCCTGGACTCAGGAGGTTGCTATACAGTCCGCACCCGTAGCCCAGGAAGCTGATAGCAAAGGCAGAAGTGGCTTGCTTAAGGCCACCTCTTATGATGCTATGACAGATGAGCCTCTGAGAAGTTCTGAGGCAAAAGGATGCTTTCGTAAGACAGTTTCCTAGCCTCAGACTGGCGGACCATATCAGGGTGCCTGTGAACTTGGATGGGAAAAAAATAAAAAACACGTTATCTCTGTTTTCATCCATGTATTTAACATTACCCAACTATAAAAGTAAGTCACATGACAGCGATATTTGCAGGACCTATGACTTTGATATCAAAAGATATCCTGCATTTCTTTTAATTTCATGAAAATTCTTGCTGGTATGTGTGTGTGTGTGTGTGTGTGTACACGCGTGCGCACGCACGCACGTGTATGGTATATATATACATTCTAAGGTGTGCTTGTTCATGAGTGTGCATGTGGAGGCCAGAAGTCGGGTGTCTTCCCCAATCTCTTTCTGCCTTTTTTTTTTTTTTTTTTTTTTTTTTTGGAGACAGGATTTCCCACTGAATGTGGAGCTCAACTATTGGCTTGACTAGATGACCAGCCAGCCCTTCTTTGCCAACCCAGTGGTGTGGTTACAGATGTTCACCACTATACCTAGCTTTCATGTGGGTGCTGGGATCCAAACTCAGGTCTTCATGTTTGTGAAGCAAGCACTTACCCTCTGAGCCGTCTCACCAGCCCACTGCTATTTAGATACCTTTGTGTACGTGTTCACAGCTTCACAACTAAACCCAAGATCTACTATTTTATTCTTTATCATTAGATCAATTATTTAATGGAGCAGATAAATTACTGTGTTACATTTTTGTAGTTCTATAATTGCTTTCTACATACATACACACATACACACACTTATACACATACATACACACATATACACACATACACACACACATATATACACAATCCTCTGTGCTTTCTATTATGCATTTAGAGTTGGTAGTCAGGGTCAGTTAGATGATTCAGTGGGTAAAGACACTTGCTGCCAAGCCTTATGACCTGAACTTGACCCTGGACTTCACACAGTGGAAGGAGCACTGACTCCCACAGGTTGCCCTGTGAATACACCCTTACTTTCAAGTCTCTGCTGGTAAATAAATAAATATCATAGAAAAATTATTCTGAGACACCATCTGCAGTAGCTATCAAAGACACAAGAGAAAAAGAACCAAGGGTAAGAACCCTTAAGAGAACACTGATCCTCAGTAGCTCTGCTCCGACTGGACCGTCATCTGTCCACCTCACCTTGCTTCAGGTTCCAGGAGCTCCTGGCAACCTCAGGCTTCCTCTGCATCCTAGGTTTTGCAGCTGTTGGTGGGATGGAAGGCCTGAAGGACCAGTACTTCTCAGCCCTGGCTAGTAACCTGAGTGAGAACAGCAGCTGTGGCCTGCCCCGAGAAGATGCCTTCCACATCTTCCGAGACCCAGTGACTTCTGACCTCCCCTGGCCTGGGATCCTGTTTGGAATGTCCATCCCATCTCTCTGGTACTGGTGCACAGATCAGGTATGGAGCTGGCTGACTTACTCCCTGATGCTTCTTTCCTGGCCGCCTGACTTCAGCGGTATTCCCCATCTCCTCCATTCCTCCCATCCTCTCTTCTACTCTGCCTACTGCTTTGCTTCATACTCTTGCAAATGCGCATGGTGAATCTGCAGCTGCTGATTGTCAGGGAAGAGCCAGTTGTAAGCTCAGTCACATGAAGGAAATGATAAATTTCATTTCGTTTCATTTGCAATGCACATCATTTGTTCAAGAGATACCCCAGACATGCTTCTGGGCATTTGAAGAATCTGGAGCTGATATGGAACTACCCTGCTACTGCCTGGGGGAGATGGAGAGATGACAAATAAGAATTTCCTGGGAGACATTAAAGGGTGTCACTTTTAAAAAGTAGAGTGAAGCAAAAGAAGTCTGAGAGGCAGGGGAATGCAATTTAAAATATGGTTGCAAGACAAAGTGTGGCTGTGGAGGGACTTGAGCAAAGTTGCTTTCTGACCCCCCCTTCCCAAATTAAAAACAAAAAGAAGCACTCAATTGTTCCATTTTTAGAATCTGAAAGTCATAGACTGAATGTCCCAGTCATTGCCAGGGCTTTTTTTTGAGTTCTGAATGGATGAATTCTTTGGGTCCCAACCCTTGTCCCCTGGCTCAATTTTTGTCACTATTTCTGCAATCATATCTCCAGTGAACATTTTGTATTTAACAGCATTCTTGACACTGTGAAACCTCTGGCAGTTGTCTGATGAGGTTCAGTCTAGTAGCTTCTTCAGAGAAGTAGGCCTCAAAGTGGCAGCTCTTGCCTCAAAATTGGGCACAGTGTACTGTGAAATCTAACAACTCAGGGAATGGTACAGAGGGGGAATAAACCCCACCTCTGGACATTCTCACTAAGGGTGTGGATTGAGTGAAGACTCAAGTTAATAATGAAAATCATCATTTTAGCACAAAGGGGCATTTTTAAAAAAGCTCTTTCATCCCAAGAAAGCTAGAGACAAATTGTGGCAATTACTATCTATGAGAAATTACTATTATTAAATTACCCTATCCTGAGAATTCCAACTGCTCCTACTTCACTAAATTTCAAAACCAGCTAGTATTATCCCCATTTAGTCAATGAGAATACTAAGGCTAGAGGTGACCCTGGGTGCTCAGGTTCATGCTGTCAGGCAGTGAGGAGATAGGATTTGAACCCAGGCTGGCTGTCTCCACCTCTAAAGTGCATACCGTATCCAGAGCTCAACGGAAGGACTCATCCCACACCATCGGAAGCCCTTTCCTTTTCTCTACCTCTAAGTTTGCTTTTCCTGAGGTCACTTCATTCTCAGAGAGCCCCACTGTGTGATGTCAGGGTGCAGCCTGCCAGTTCATGTCCCCTCCACAGTTAGCAATCCCACGGGAGGCTACCCACGGGAGGCTACCCTTGCAGCGCACTGCTTTCCTTTTCCTTCTAAACATCTATTTGTTTCTATTTTATGCCTGTGTTTGCTTGGATGTATGTCTGTGCACCATGTGTGTACCTGGGTGCCTGTGGAAGTGAGAAGGAGGTGTCAGATCCCCAGGGACCAGAGTTACAGATGGCTGTGAGCCACCATGTGAGTGCCAGGAGGCAACCATGATTCCTCTAAAAAAGCAGTCAGCATTCTTAACTGCTAAGCCATCTCTCCAGCCCTTCCTACTGAGAAATTAAACTGGGATCTCTTCAGGTCATGCTTTTACCTAACTCTGTAGCCAAAGAGGTGGATTAATTCTGGAGTGACCCATAACTGAAAGGGTCTGTATATAATAGGGAGAGACAGGGTGGGGACAATGATGGCCACCCTCGTTAGACTAGAGGTAAAGGTGAGGGGAAATGCTTTCTTATAAACAAGTCAGGCAAACCCAGATCTCAGGCCTACTGAGAAGCTCCACAGGGCCAGCGAGCAAACCATCCTCAGCTTCCAACCACCTTCACTCTGTTCCAGGTAATTGTTCAGCGGAGTCTGGCCGCCAAGAACCTGTCTCATGCCAAAGGAGGTTCCCTGATGGCTGGATACCTGAAAGTGCTCCCTCTTTTCCTAATGATCTTCCCTGGTATGGTCAGCAGAGTTCTCTTTCCAGGTGAGAAGACTGACAATGGTCATCTGTCTGCAAGTCTCAGGCTCTAGAACATGTTCTAAATGTGTCACTCACTGTCCCACCAGAACAGGACAGAAGTCCTGGACTGGTGACTGGATGGAGGTTTCCCCATCCATCTACTGACCTCATGATACTATCCAACACTGACTCAGCACACAAGACCTGATGAGGGAATAGATGCTTACTGGGAGTCTTCCACTGTATTCTATCCACACAAACTAGCCTAAGGTTCTGTGGGTCCACATGGTTATTCCTGAAAGATGAAGTCATGTGCCCATGCTTTAGAGTTCGAGTTTAGTGTTCTGGTAGCCTGATGGAACCCCTCCTGTGATAGTAAGTACTAGGGGACATAAATAACACAGGAACACACACACACACACAAGCACACACACACACACACACATAGAAGATCTTATGTGGCCTAGGCTGGCCTTGAATTTATGATGCTCTCCAGTGCTGGGATTACAGGTGTGCACCAACATGTTTGACTAGCTTGTTTTCTTTAAACTCAGTCAAGAGGTTTCCGCATACACATAAACAATACTTACCAGAATGATGTGGCCAGGAGTCCCTGGTGTCAGAAGCTGGGATTTGCACAGAACAAACCTGTTTCTTCACAACAGTGAGCATTCCTCCATAAGCACCAAGGCTGTTACTAAGGAGACCACAGAGTGGAAAGCATCCTCCCCTGTTGCTCACTCCTACATATGTTATACCAGTGGTTCTTAACCTGTGGGTCGAGACCCAGGGCATATTAGGCATTTACATTATGACTCATAACATTAGCAAAGTTAGTCAGGCAGTGGTGGTGCATACCTTTAATCCCAGCACTCAGAAGGCAGAGGCAGGCAGATTTTTGTGAGTTTGAGATCAGCCTGGTCTACAAAGCTAGTTCCATGATAGCCTCCAAAGCCACAGAGAAACCCTGTCTCTAAAAACAAAAGAACAAGACAAAATTAGCAAAGTTACAGTTATGAAGTAGAAATGAAATAATTTTATGGCTGGGGATCACCACAACATGAGGCCCACAGCATTAAGAAGGCTGAAAACCACCCAGTTTTTTGCAAACAAAAGGATGGTCAGACAGTGGTGGCACACACTTTTATAGGCAGAGGCAGACAAATTTCTGTGAGTTCCAGGACACCCAGGGCTACACAAATAAACCTTGTCTCAAAAACCAAACCAAAACAAAAAAAAAAGTAGGATGAATAACCATTCATTATCTGGTACAGTTAGGTCTAATCATTTAGAACTTAGAGGGACATAGTGTTGAATTCTAAAAGCTTGCCTCTCCAGCCCAGATGAGGATCACAGGTCATGCCTCCATGTAGGGGGCACACAGCTTGGGAAAAGCCATGAGTGGGGCCAGACCTGAGATCTTGACTCCCTGGTGACTTGATGGAAAAGCATAGGACAGAGTAAAGCCTGACAGATAACAACAGACATGGTTTAAAGCAACCTTGAATACATCCCTTACCCTCTCTTTCCTTTGTTTTCTTGTCTGTAAGATGAGTGGGGATGAGGCCTATGTCAAGCGAGCTTGTTATATACTAACAGTTGGTTAATTAACAATGTTATTGAACGGTGTGTTAATTATCACAGGGCTGCTGGAGTCGATTAAAACTTAGTTGAGCCAATTAATTTCACCAAGGTGAACAATACATCTATCTATCTATCTATCTATCTATCTATCTATCTATCTATCTATCATCTATCTGTCTCTGCATGTGTAGCAATGGTTGATCGCTAGCACTCTCTACCTTACTGACCCTGGAGCTCACTGATTCAGCTGGACTAGGGAGGCATTGAGCCCCAGGCACTTGGATTGCAGATCTGCACTGTGTGCTGGGCACCTAAACTCAATCCTCACTTTACCAACAGGCCACTTCGCTGTCCTAAACATAGAACTGTAGGAAGAACACTGAATTTTCCACTGAACGTCATTTGTAAACTTTGCTCCAGTCATGTGCCCCATGCTTGAAGGTTGCATTCTTAGTAGGAAAAAACCCTTTGTCGTTAGTGATTAAATGTCTGTGAGAGGACCCTGCTCCTTTTCAGTCTGTGTGAAGAAGACGAGCTTCCCAGAACAGAATGAAGCACACAGGTTTGAACGTCAGCAATGGGAGGCTTCAGCGCTCCAGCAGTCAGAATGTTAAGTGTTTTCTTATTTGCTGGTTTCCTCAAAAGCCCTTGATTTTTTCTGAGTGGCAGGGTGTGTGTGTATGTGGCATGTGGTGCATATGGTTTTGTGTGTATGTGTACATATGTGTGAGTGTACATGTGGTGGCCAAAAGTTGATACTGGGTGTCTTATTTTTATTAGAGGCAGGGTTTCTCCGTGAACCTGGAACTCACTGATTTGGCTAGGATGGCTGGTCAGTGAGCTCCAGGGATCCTCCGATCTGCTTCCCAATCCCTCACTCCTATCCTGTACCACTGTGCCACGCTTTCCACATGAGTGCTCGGGGCTCAACTCAGGCTCTCATGTGGCCAATCTTATCCCCTGCTGAGGGACACATCCACAATGACCTTAGGGCCTCCTAAAGTCCACCTCTCAAAGGACCCACCACGTCCCAATACTGCCACACTAAGGACCCAAAACCTCACAACCCATGAGCCTAAACCACACCCTAGCCACAGCAGAGGTGAACTGTGGAGATGAATTAGAGAACCAGGATGGGTAGGCAGCTTCACACTGGAGAAATCAGAGAACAGCTAGGGAAAAAAAAAGATGCACAAAGCGGGACTGGAGAGGTGACTCCTAGTGAAGATCTCTCAATTCACTTCCAGAGGACCTGAGTTCAGTTCCCAGCACCCACGCTGGGCTGCTCACAACTGCCTGTAACTCCAGCTCCAGGGGACCCAATGCCCCTTTCTGGCCTCTGTGCATTCATGAGCACAAGCCCACATACAGACACATACATGGACATATAATTGAAGAAATAAAATATTTTTGAAAGTCGAGAAAAAAAAAAAGGAAAAATACTCAGGGTTTGAAGCTCACGATGTATTCTTACTATGTCCTGTATGATACTTGGGTGTTGAAGTTTTACTCTGCATTATCTCAGCCAATTGCTGTGCTCTTTTCTTCCACTGACCTATTTTTAATCATTATTTTAGTGTGTGTGTCTGTGTCTGTGCATACATATGCATTCAAGTGTGCCATGTCACCTGTGTGAGGCCAGAAGACAACTTGCAGGATATTGTGTACATTAGGATTGAACTAAGGTCATTGGGCTTGCTGGCCCTTCATCTACTCCTGAACTGTGTGTATGTGGGGGGTAGAGGGGAGGTAAGTGTGTGTGTATGTGTGTGTGTGTGTGTGTGTGTGTGTGTGTGTGTGAGTGCCCGCCAAAACATCTCACCAGCCTTGTTGTTCTAATCTTATGAAGAAGAAGTTTCTTAGCAGTGCAGTGTCAGACAGCAGCCACACTAATGTTATGAGACAGTTATGGCATCACCCCATTCTACAGATCAGCAGCAGGTGCTCAGGAAACTGAAGGGGCATGGAGTTGAGGCTCTTGTCTATTTTCTCTCAGCTATAAGTTCACACACCCTTCTTTTGGTGCCAGTCTGGTTCCGGCACACTGTAGGCAGGCCTGGGCTCAGGGCCTGTCTGCCTCACTCTGGGCTTACATTTCCTCCATAGATCAAGTGGCCTGTGCTCATCCCGACATCTGCCAACAGGTCTGTAGCAATCCCTCTGGCTGTTCAGACATCGCATATCCCAAACTTGTGCTGGAACTTTTGCCCACAGGTAATGTTCCCTCACTCCTATACTTAGTCTCCTGGACCACTTAGAAAGGAGGATACTGTCTGGGTGCTGATCTGAGGTAGGGACAAGATGTAAGAGCTCTGGGCACCCCAAAGGTCAGGATTTGGGAGGCCCGCAAAGTCTTGTCTGACTACCCCACTAGAGCGTCTACCTCAGAGCTGAGCCATTAGGATCAGCTAGCTTTAGGCCTGGGGTGACAGGGTCACAACAGAAGGTGAAGCTGTCATCAGAAAGCCCAAGGCCTATAGACCTCCCTTCTGTCCCCCAGGACTCCGTGGGCTCATGATGGCTGTGATGGTGGCCGCTCTCATGTCCTCCCTCACCTCCATCTTTAATAGTGCCAGCACCATCTTCACCATGGACCTGTGGACCCACATCCGGCCACGGGCATCTGAAAGGGAGCTCATGATCGTGGGCAGGTAAGGTCGTGCAGGGTAGGGACTCTGGGAAGTGAAAAGTCCCAAGGAGGGAACTGAGCTCACAGACAGGCAAAGCCGATGTGCCCAAGCTTGCTCAGCCTCTGCTGTTGACAATGAGGAGTAGGAACTCTGCATGACTTAGTCACTCATTCAGTAGATGTCCTGTGAACACCTGCTGTGTTCCAGTACTTAAAACAGTACTTGAAAAATGTCCCAGTATTTGAAAACAGTCCTCTGGTACTGGAACACAGCACTAAAAGACACGTGTCTGTTGGCACGTGGGGAAGAAGTCAAACAGATGGTTAAAGCCTTGATGAGTGTGCTGACTGGGAATCACATGACCTAGACATTCAGATGGGAAGCACCAATCTAGGTTGGGATCTGGGGGATGGCAGGAAGTAGCTTGGTAAGATGGGCTAGGGTGGGAGCAGTGATCTTTTTTTTTACTTTTTAAAATTTAAATTAGAAATAATCTTATTTATTTATTGTTTTTTTTGAGACAGGGTTTCTCTATGTAGCTTTGGAGCCTATCCTGGCACTTGCTCTGTAGACCAGGCTGGCCTTGAACTCACAGAGATCTACCTGTCTCTGCCTCCCAAGTGCTAGGATTAAAGGCATGCGTCACCAATGCCCAGCAACAATCTTATTTTATATATCAATCCCAGTTTCCTCTCCCTCCCTTTCTCCCATGCCCCCATCGACCTCCATCTCATCCTTCTTCTGCTCCATAGAAAGGGTGAGGCCTTCCATGGGGGATCATCAAAGTCTGTCACATCATTTGGGGCAGGGCCTAGGCCCTCCTCTGTGTGTCTAGGATGAGATGGTATTCTTTTATGGGGAATGGGCTCCCAATGTTCATTTGCACACTAGGGATAAATACTGATCCACTACCAGAGGCCCCATAGACTGGGGAAGTGATTTCTGTTCCAAGATTCATAGGAGAGCAGAAATGAGCATCATGAAAGGTGATGTAAAAGACACAAGTAAGCTGTTCCTTGGAGGCCATGTCACTCAAAGATTCACGTAGATAGATGTCTTGGCCATGGATCAGGAAAAGAGTGCTTAGACATGACCCTGAATGCTAACCCACTGAAGGAACGCCAGATGCACTGCCCTAGATCACTTGAAAAGACACTGTTAGAGAGATATAAAGACATCCACAGACTGGAGAAGATATTTGCAGGACACATTATATGCTTAGGAAATCTAGAAAATATGACTGACCACAAAAACAGCTGAACAGACACTTTACCAGTGAAGATGTAGAAATGGCTACAAACCTGTGACAAGATGCTCAGCATCATTTGTCACACGAGATACCACTTTATCCCACTGAATGTCAGTAACAGCCAGGAATAGCGCATGCCTGTGACCCCAGCACTTGGAAAACTGATGCAGGAAGACCTTGAGTGTGCCACCAGCCTAGACCACATAGCAAGTTTTAGGCCAGTCTAAGATACATAGTAAGGCTCTGTCTCAAAAATAAAAGTTTCAAACAAAAAGAGACAAGAAAGGGGAGAGACTAGAAGCCCTACACAGAACAGATGGGATGTGAACAATTCTATTTAAAAAACAATCCTATAGCCGGGTGGTGGTGGCGCATGCCTTTAATCCCAGCACTCCAGAGGCAGAGG